CAGTACTACTATACGGATCAGAGACTTGGCGTGTCACAAAGAGCACCTCAAACAAGCTACAGACCTTCATTAACAGATGTCTTCGCTCAATACTCAAGATCAGATGGCCGGAAAGGATCAGCAACAAAGATCTCTGGGAGCGAACCAACCAGGAACCGATTGTGAAACAAATAGGCAGGAAGAAATGGAGATGGATTGGCCATACTCTGAGGAAACCAGCAAGTGACATCACTAGACAAGCCCTTGAGTGGAACCCGAAAGGGAAGCGGCGAGTTGGTCGTCAGTGCAAGGGTGACCTGGAGGAGATCATGTGAAGAAGAATTGAAAGCGTATGGGCAGGCTTGGAGCTAGGTGAAAACTCTAGCAGAGAACCGAACGCAATGGAGACGCATGGCTGAAGCCCTATGTTCCTCTAGGAACTAAAGGAAATAATAATAATTGAAAAATTTACGTGTTAACGTTGGAACTTTGTGCTATTATGCAATTATTTATTAACATAAAATTTTTCTTAAAAGTTTTAACGGTATTCCTGTACTACTATTTCCTTTCGCTTGTCGAAGGAATACTGATATAGCCATTTTCGGAATGCGCAATGATTGACCTCGAAAGAGTGGTAATTTGCACAGCATAAGAATACTAGGATAATTATCTTTAATAGGATATACCCATAATGCATTATTTTCGATGTACTTAGTCGTCCTACATTTGTTAATATGTATATATATATAAGCTCAACATATAATTTTTCGGCAGCCCTGATGAAAGGTAATCTCTTACGCAGTCGGATCAAATGTAACTGAAATGTTGCACGCACATAAGGACTAATAACGGTCTACGACTTTGACAGTATTTCACAAAAAGGCTACTGTATTTCGTTATTACGATGCAAACACATGTTTGGCGCTATTTTCTTCTGAACATTGATGCATACTTATACGACGCGCAAACGGATCAAATGTAACTGAAACATTTCATGTGAGGCTTGATGACGCACTGAGGAAATAATAATGGCTTACGACTATGACGCATTTCACAAAAGTACTACTGCGTTGCCTATCAACTTCATTAACTACGTAATGTCCTCGAAATGACAAATAAGAGAGATACAGGTAGTCGACATAAATGCATATATTTACAAAAGAACCACAGTCAAACAAACTAAAAATAGTTTAGTATGAAACAGTACATATTTTTACATTAGAAAGGGTTTATGGCAATTCAGTGAAAAAACACAGTTATAGATTTTTTATGTTTACATCATAGCCAAATTAAAGTCTACTAATCGTTTTATCCACAATATGTGGATCAGTTTCCCTCAGCTGATAGTGATAGTGGACCCGTCTTCGCAGTTTTCATCACTACCCGATCCTTCAGAAGAAACTGGTTATGATCTTTCCATGCAAGGATCGAGATTGCATACAGAAAAATATAAATAAGGTTTTCTCTTAACGATTTACTACGTAAGCTGCAGCCGCTTGAGCATGCTCATTTGAACTTCATGATAATCACGTGGTAATAGTGCCAAGAGACTTTAGTAGCGTCATATTATATCAATACAACATGCACCGTGTGCAAAACTCTTCCATTTTCGCATATCACGACCACTGCTCAAATGAGATTATCTAGTCGGATGGATGGATAAAATGATAACAAAATTTATCTTTCTCAGAAGACTATCTTACATTTGGAGGTCGACCAGGAGCCTGATTTGCCGGATGGTTGTCTCAGAATGTACAGGAATGCAAATAAGAGTCAAAGTACATCACGCTGCCGAATTCCACCGGAGATATGGCTACACTGCGAATTACGGCCCAAATTTCGCAATTCATGTAGAGATTAATTACCATGTAGGCATGTAAAACATGCGAAGGTATATTATGAGTAAATACCACTAAGGCCTGCTATTAAATAATTACAGTGTTAATATAAGCACAAATTACAATTATTTTCAGATCAAAAGTATTATTAACAGTTCAAGCATAGCACTTGATAAATAAAGCCATTGTTTTCAGTCGACTTTCAAAGCGCTGTTGTAAGTGGTTACAGTGAATGTCTTTATCTACAGTCCTGATGACTATATTATTCATATGTGCATTTTACACAAATGTCTCGAACAAAATTCTGAAACTTCCACATGTGAACACTTTTTCATGAATGCCACCTTTGGAATGGATGCAGAAGGACCTGCCACTGTTTTAAACAAGTATGTCTTTCAGTGGGTCATTCGTATACGTATGAATTAGGTGGCTTCTAGTGGTCGTTCAGTAGCTGAGCTTCATGTGGTCACTATAAGCTTCTGGGCCATGGAATTATTTTTCAGCATTATATGCAATCAGGAAGACCGCCAAAGGCTCCTCAGTCTTGTTATTCCTATCTACGCACTAATCTAAATTCAGTAACGGAAGACTTAGTATCTTCGATAGGTAACCCTCAATGATTCATATCTTTGTACCTTACAGGAGGCAAATCACGAATCGACCAGAAACTCTCGTAGGAGAGCTGCAGAAGTCGCAGTAAAATATACTGGGTTAACGGAAGTGTTATATGTGCTTGTACTGGAGATAGATACCCCTAGGGTATAGTCGTTTGACATGTGATGACCAGGAGTAAGTATCGAAATGCCCACGTCCATATGGATCATGGTGGAAACGCAGCGAAAGTAACTGATTAAACCCGGGGTAATGTCAAGAAGTTTTGATCCTATTTCACACAAGTTGAGACCTAGATTTTGAGAAGTTTCAGACCGTTAACACGTTTTTAATCATTGATGAGACTTCATTCTTAAAATCCCTCAGTCGACTTTTTAAGTGACAGCACTGTTTTATATATGACCGACGACGAGTGAGATGTTCATCAGAGAATTTACCGGTCACGTCATGCTGGTTTAGACTTCTGCTGTTTAACTCCATAAGCACAGAGGGTGGTCCAGTCACCACTCGAATTGAGATTGTCGTTGTGCGAACTGCCAATTTTCGTACTTAATCTTCTGCTCTAGTCAGTTCCTGTCGGAGGCAATTGACAGACAGAGCATAACTTTAGTATAACTACCAGTATATTTTTCAAACTACAGTTGCTTGGGAAATGCATCACAGAACTAAAGGACTAGCAACCAACTGCATTTTCAACAATAAATATGCGTGAGTCTTTCTGCTATTCACTATTCGATGAGTGATGTATGCTAAATGCCTGAACGTGGTATCAAGACATCATCTGTGACACTTTGGTGCACCAGTGTTAGGATCCTGAGAACTCAACGAAGCTTTCAAATTGTCTGACAGTGTTTTTATCTGACCTAGATTTAGTAGTGCTCCACTCAACGTACTACGGTAAAAGGTCCAAAACATTCGTGGTGTCAGCATGGCTCGAAATCATTCTCCGTCCGCTCACCTACTTCATTTCAGCCGTTGCTGGTCAAGGAGGTGCTTGAGGAGTGAGATCGTGATAGTTACCTCACGTTGTAATGGTTTTCTGACCACGTTCTGCAATATCCCAGTCTTCCTAATACATCCTCTGCAGCATTCGAGTCTAATACTTCCTCTTCAGCGGTGCATGCACCCGGTTCGGGTGGTCCTGGCTCTTGAGTCACCCCTTTGTTTGACAAAGGCGTAGGTCTGCCAGCATAAGTTTTCACATAACAAATGCCGTAGCCCTTTCTGGTTTCGGCAAACACGTAGACAAGCCCACAGTTCTTTTGTGAAGGTAACTGAAGTCACTGTCACCCACTAGTTCTTGTAAACATCATAAGAAGTGAGATGGAAATCTATCTCCAAAGGTCTCCTCTTGAAATGGACATCGTATTAGCCAGTCTTGTAAATTAACAGGCAGTCGGTAATTTGGAGCCGCAGTGATTTTTTCAGAACCAGAGACCTTAGATCACCAAAAAGACTAGTTCTATGACAATCGGGACACGTAAGTAGCTATAAAGCTGAACAACATATGCACATATCAAAAGTGCAAAACACACTCCACACGAATAGATGAATCTCACAAATAACTTGACAAAAGGCTTCAAGTGAATACTGAGGGTTTATGATAGTAGCGATCAATAGCCATGAAAACTAATTGCAAATTAACTGACCAATACCTTATAGAGAGTTAGAAGACGTTAACTGTCTGCATGCCGGATATATGAGCAGCCCTTCATCATCTAACAAAGCTTAACAGAGGTTATTAACCCTGATAGGCGAAATGATTTCGTGCTTCCTAACTGGCTACTCACCGCTGACCAACGAACACTAATCCACATCTTTCCTCCTAAATACAAAGGCTGTCGATCGAATGTAGGACCAATAAAACCAGCCATTCAAACCCTTAGGGTTGGTTGAGCTGCCTTAGACCTATCCAGAAATTTATCTTCTTTGGATACCTTCTACTAATTCATCAGGATCTTGTGTTGTGAGAAGGCTACACTAGTCTATGGGCGCCTGAATACCCACAAAGGTCTGACACTTTTTGTGGGGCAGTAAATACCAAAGATATACTCTGGAAAACTTTAATTTGATTATACTTGACAGTACTTCATGTGGAGAATCGTATTTCAATCACCATGGTGTAATAGAAGTGTCCCTGTTTGTCAATGGCAATCAGACAACAGATTATATCCACTTCTCAAGGACACATTCTTGTGGGGTTTTACAGATGTTGTGCATATGTTATCCTTTTTTAGACTAGTTTTGCAATGTTATGCTCTTTGCGCCCAGTGAAAACTAAAAGCATAGTATTAATATCACCGAAGAAGCAGCTGAGTATCTGTCAGAAGGTACATGTGACTCGTGAATTCTTCAATGCCGTGCTCCATATATTCTTGAAGCGAAGAAACGTTGATCAAAGATTGTTTCGAAGGTTAGATTGCATTGGTTAAAGTGTCTAACAGCAGTATCGTTTTGCATAGAGTAGAAATCTGAAATTGGAAAATATTATTTAACTCCATATGTATTTCCGTCGCTATAAAGTGGGAATCCATAGAAACTGGATTCATTTCACTTCAGACTACAAGGTCGGAGAAATTTTAATAGCATATCCTATTTTAAATCTTAAAATGTGGCATTTTTCAAACCAGAAAGTGCAAATCTAATTACCTAGTTTTGACCATTGAAAGTCTTTGAAGGTTCAATCTCTGAGCATTTCCAGCGCGTCAATTTGAGTGTATGGGCTACATATCTAATTTAGACGCTGGAAATGACGGATGACGCACTAGTTCTGGTTTTTAAGGCCTTAGATACCGAAAATAAAGGATATATCACAGTCGATCAATTTGTTACGACATTCAAGGAGTTTTACAACTCTAGTGGATCTCATGGTGAACGGCGCTCTTCGTTTTCCTCTAATGTAATGCTATATACATAATCGATAAATATGCATTCAGGAAATAATGAAAGTGGTACAGGCACTAGACCCTGAAAACGACGGAGTTATTCATTTCGAAGACTTCAAGAAGGCCTTTGAAGGAAATATCACTCGTAGGTGTCCTTGTAAACGAATTTATTTTGTCAGTTGATGATGAACAAAATACAAAACACTCGAATAACCTTGCTAGAACGCTGGAGGGCCAAAATACTTCCGTGAGGTCCAGTTTCTTATCGGACGGATTGGAAAATAAGGTGAGATAAAACCCCATTTTTGTTGTTTCCTAAGCTTACTATAATGCTGAATTAAATCTCGATAATTCTGAAATAACTCTAACATTCTGTCGTGAGTAAATACTGAATCTGTTCTGAAATGGTTTGTTTAAGCGCACATACTAGAATACACTGCATGTTTTCAGCATACTTCAGCATCCTGCTTTTTTTCTAGACATTTCCAGGAGCAGATCAGAACCTACTGGGTTCGCTTATCAGCGTTTTTCCAGCCCTCACAGTACATATTAAGCACTGACTAGCATTACTTCATATGGTAACCTTATTTTTAAGATTTTGTCGCATTAATTAAGCACCTAGCGCTCTTTTTAAGCACGACCAGCGTTATTTCAGAACATAGTGGGTAGATAAAATATTTATTTACCACAAAAAGGCACTATCGACGCATAGTTTGGAATAAGTTTAGAATTGTTGTAAGCTTGTTGATATAGGATATGACTACTGGCGTCTATTTTGACGTGTATAACACTTGATAGCATCTTCTCTAGAAGTAGTATAATTTATCCAAAGGTCATTGGAATATGCTTTCTGGTGTCTTTATTGGATGCAGCCTTTAATGTATTTGATTTAAGCGGTTGCCATTATTTGTGTCATCTCATATGAGGTGACAGTACGTAAGTCGAATGCTAGTGGAGAATGTATTTGTGGTTTATGTCCAAACTGAAATTCAACGATTGAGTTCTAGGTTCGGATCTGGCCCCATTCATTGAACTGAATAGCTGGATAGTCAGGATGATGAGGGCTTCGTGTACTTTTGGAATTGCATGGGACGCTGTTACTTCTCGGCTGCCCACACTGGTAGTTGGTTTTCTTTTCGGGTACCTGGAACAGAAAGAGAATTAGTGTTGCTTGACTGCAGAGTCCACCGGACAACTGATTGAGGCCGGTCACACATGGCCTGTCTGAACTAGCTTTTTGGTTTGGTTCTATATTAGTAACTTACCGCCGGCTGCGGACCACCGTAGGGTAAGTCGGGATGTACAATTTTTGGGGTGTGAGGGTTATTATATATCTATTAATTGACACACAAACGCATTCATGGGAACACTGTCTTCATTATAAGCAGGTTTTTAAAATATCTCAAGACTCTCAAATCCTCTTACCGAAGAGTGCAGCTTAGTAAAATTGAGTTTTAAATAAAACTAGCCAGGATGGGTTTTAAATTTTAATTTGGTGTGGACAGTGGGCTACGTTAGGTTTAGACTACCTTACTGAGACTTTACACTGATTAGGTATAGCATTCACGAATTAGAAAATTGATAGGAAAGGTGTGGTAGCTGAGCCTTTGAAATCCTAAGGACTCATAATTGTAGATTCAGGATGAATTGACTTCAAAGTAATCACAATAGCCTGTCTATACTTGCATTTCCTTTTTCTTTTGTATAAGATTTTTTGGATCTTTGGCCCATTAAATGAGCTACTTGATCTCACTGTATAAGCTGTTAGATGCGGAACTTAAACTACATAAATTTTAGTCTTTTTTATTGTTCTATGATTAATATTCTGTATTCGGTTAGATGTGGGAAACTTTTGTTTCTGTATCTGGTTACATTAGTGTTCCTCGTAGAATTTACATTAATTCTAGTTTTTCCAGCACAACTAACTCGTTCATTTGTTACCCATAATTCTCAAGAGTATACAGGGCACTATGTATTTTGCGACACTTATCAAAAGTCATTCTTGCTGAATTTAATTCGCAATAAAGTTCGTCGGATTATTCTTATCACTAATTACAATATTAACAGTGTAATTCTGTTGGAGTCGATACTTATTGAGATTTATTACAAAAGAATTACAATAGAATTATCATCATTCTACTCAGCAAAGTTAAACAAATGAATGATAGGTGTGTCGAAAATAAACTGAATTAGCATTCACCCTTACAGTTATTTTAAGTGCAAAGACTTACCAAGCAGTTAACTGTTTCAGCAGATACTTTCTTTGTGTTGTAGAAAGTTACATACGTTTGGAAAGTTGATGAGTTATTGGATGTACCTGATTGTTGCTATAAATTTGTATTAAATATGCCGAGCATGTCAAATAATGGACCTCTACTACTGTTTGAAATTTCGCTAAGTCGCTCGTGTGCCCTGAGTTGGATAGAGGTGGACTCAGCTGCTTGCTGTTATAGTTGATAGTTGAATACAGACATCAGTTAACAACTACTCTGCATCGTGTGACTTAGTGGAAAATGCATAGCTGGGGAGCAGATAACTGATGCGCTTAATGGTAGACTAAAAATCAACAATATTCCCACCATCACTTTTATTAATTATTATATATTAAAGTTCTTTCTGTCTGAAGTCCTAGTATTTGACATCTTACTTTTTTAGGATGATCGATACACTTATTTACGTCCTTAGCTTGTGATTTCATTACTCAGTAGTATTTAGCTGGTTTGAAGGCAGGACACCGGAAATTTTCCATGTGCCAGGGTATGAACCACAATTGTTTGGGGGTTGACAATCCTATCCACTTACTCAGGATCCCAGGATCAGCTAGCTGAAATTGGAGTGCTTAAACCAATGAACCTCATCTTCATTTCATCTCTTACTGTTTCAGTAGCTAGTTATTTTCAGGTGTACTCACATTTTTGTTTCACTGCTAAGGTGTATCACACATTTTGGCTCGTTTTTATTCATGTTTTTTCAATCAACTTAAGGTCATATGAATCAGGGGTCTATAAGAGTAATTAGCAATGCAATTCATTTTCCCGGCAAAATTTGTAAACGAGGCCATAAGTCATTCCGTAAAAACTTTTAATAATACAGAAGTATCCAAGCTAAAGTTGGTGAAACATATTTTATATCCAGGATCTGTTGACTTAAAGCGAATTCCTTAGGTTTAGGGGGGCACACCTATATATATATATATATACATATATATATATTTCGGTTTGAACAAAAATTAGCACCGATCCACTTGGTTATTAATTATTGATGTGATGCAAATATTACGCGGTGGGAGTGTTTGACTGTGATCTGGATGTTGATAATTAATGTTTGAAAACTTTTGCTAAAATCGCTAAAAACTGTTCACAGTGGCACATTTATTCACTGTTTATCATTGGAATCCTAAACATCGCCAATGTTCTTTATTTCATGATTCCTATTTCTCTGCTATCTTTGTTCGTTGTAGTATCATTGATTTCTGAGTTAAACTACCACGTATCTATACAAGGTTCCATATTAATTCGTCAGTTAGTGACTTTTTAAGCACAATTATGAATAATAAATTGTGTTCGAAAGGTCACCATGTAAAGCATACTGTTTTCATCATGTGATATACCTAATGAGTGAAGTGATCTTAGACAGTTGCTTATACTTTGAATATTTAAGTTATGTAGCACATTGTGACAAGTAAATGTTGAACAGTAACAGTTTTATTTTAAAGTCCTTATGCATAGGTCTTCTAGTTTATTCACTAGTCGTAATATCTGGTTATAACCTAATTTAGGCAACTCATGGTTCGTTGTAAGACATCACAAAATTGCGTAACTTCAAGTCACCATACTGCCAAAAGGAACAGAAAATGAAGAGACACAAACGGAATTATACTACAATAGAGTACAATAATACTGGTGTAAAAGCGAGAATGATTAAATGAAGACCAGTGTAACGTTTTAGGATCTTGGCGGTAAACAAAGAGGAATACATTTGTACCAATATGAAGTATTTAGGGCCTTGTCACTAATTGTATCGAAGCGTATATTCTAACTTGGTCACTCTAAGGATCCCGACTAAACAGTCTATACCTTATAAGTAGCTCAGACTAACAGTCTATATATTGGTGCCGTGTTATGATCTAACCATCCATAAGTACTTTCCGATCTACTCTTATTTCAGCTAAGATTGCTTTTTGAGGAAAGCGTTAATCGAGAATATGTAACGTACTTCCTAGCTATCTCGATCATTTTAACTTCATTTATCTATTTCTCTGCAGCTCACTTTGTTATTACTGTTTTACTTCTCATGAAGGGAGGCTCAGAGATGCGAGATTAATTGGGCTGATCAATGATTTACACCAGTTCGATGAATTATCCCAGATTCCGATAGGGTAACTAGAAACTTTTGTTATGCAGGGGATTAGTACATCACTATTATTTCACAGTACCTTTGAAGTCGAACCATAAGGCCCTAGGGCATTGACTCTTACTAGATTACACAGCTTCTACAACCCTTATCAGTTATGAAAGGTCAGTGTTAGATCTTGGGTAATTGTAGTTTAGTTTTAGAACAACTAAACCTCTACACGAAGACTCAATAACTTCGATTGACAGTATTATTCGTCTTTATTGATATTAAAGTGGAAATCGGAAACTCTACGCAGGTGTCTCTGGGTTATCACTTATATACTCTGTTATCATAGGATACGCGCACGTGTGTCACTCTTTTAGGCCCGGAAATATGTTTCGATAATTAATAATCAATTCTCGTATCTTATGCTAATTGGTTTGATTTCGTATGAAAAGATAATCATTCAACACTCAGTTTATTATTATTATTGGGTTAAGTTGATATTTGGTTACCTAATGCTTAAATTTTTCTGCTTCTCTTTTCCAAACTGACAAAATTCAGCATATATTTTTGACAGCTGTTTTGAATGAGCTAAATTGGTTTCTTGTTTTTCTTTTCAGACCGATGATAGTGGTGTGCATATGCAGGATCCAACTTTATTCGATATAGACACTGATTCTGCCTTAAGTGCTGATGGACCGCACAAGTAAGCCTGTGTGATATTTAATGTTTTCTTGTCTTGACTATTCAAATGGATATTACTTTTGTAGTGTGCTTACAAAAAACAATTGTATATCGTGATATGTTGTGCTTGCACCGTCGTTTGATTACATATGAGTATTTAAATCATTAAATGAAAAAAACAATTTTGGAGTGTAATATCACTACTGATGACGACAATAATGTTTTTAAATATTAGGCATGTTTAGAACGAATCAGAAATGAGCTGTTTTTTTAACGTAGACTTTGCTTACCGATCTGTTTGGAGAAAACATGGATTTAAGTTGATTGTTCTTACATGCATTTTGCCTTTCTTTTGGGCTTGTGATCTTTACTGATGCAAATGCAGTCTATACAGTCATTGCGTCAAAGCATTTGTTTTTGATGCAACCGAATAAAATTATGGATATTGTGCTTTGTAATTGCAAAGCCTTTTGAATCATCCTAACGTTTTGCCTCAATTGCTTTCAAGGTTGAAAAAAACGCGTTTTGTAGGGGTATGATACATTATCGCAGATGTCTGATATAATGAGGAGTGTTTATGGCTGAAGTAAGGGGCTTCCAGCATTGTTGCATTCTCCTAGAAGACTTATTCCTAAAGCTTTCATCTTGATGATAATCTCAAGAATTGCAATGAAAGCCTCACGATATAAACACACATATAATATAGTCATATTGGTCATAAACGGTTAGAAGTATTGCAGATTATCGTTAAAGAGGCTATACCGCAAGCGTAAGTTGCTGGATGAGTCTGTATGCACTTAACATACTGCTGGGTCTGTCGCGTAGCGTATCATTTTAGATTCAATCCATCACACGTGAATGAGGGGTATCTAAGAAATCTGAGAAATAAGTACATGGTGAATTCGCATTCAGTCCTATATTCGTTTCTTTAAGAGACTGGAGTATTAGCTACCTGGGACAAATTGCTGATGTACCGGGTTTTGAGCCGTACTTATTATGTGAGGGGTTAGGATATTGCCCAGTTGTCAGAGTTGAAGTTAGTGTAGGCGGGATTTTAACCTGAGCATTTTAGTTGCGGGTGACAAGGAATCTGTAGATGTATCAGAGAGAGGACTGTTAGGATTTCCCAAACGAACTTCACGGGATCGTACGCAGATGATTTCTTTTGTCATCTTAGTAAAAGAAACCGAATTATGTGGTAGTAAAGAACATTTATATAACTGGTCAGTATTATGAATCTAATTACATTAAATAAAGGTTTTCGGCCTCTACAGTCTATTGGAGACACAAGCTAATCATAATTTATACTTTCACCGGTAACTGAGCAATTACCACACGTATTTTATTAAGATTAATAATGTTCTATACTTCTGTCTAGGATTTACTATTTGGTTATGGCTTTTAAACCTGTGTATCACTTGTTCGGTAGATTACGACAAAAATAACTCCTTTTTAAACCTAATTTACAATCACAGTCTCCTGCTCTGCATATTATTTTTATTACTACTGTTGTTATTTTTGTACTAGTTAAGGGTATTAATGAAGGTAGTTTTCTTAAACCCGACCTATCACCACTGTGATTTATTTATTGAAAAGAAATTTATTATCATGTGAAGGCATTTGCTGTCACCATATGCTGTTGCTGTATGGAATAAGAAGGATGCTAGTTTATGGTTAGTATTAGTAGTAATAATAGTACTGTTTCATCGTACTTCTATTGTATGAGTGACTTATGCTCAAGCGACATATTGTGCTCGTGTATTCATTTAAATGAAGTAGTCAAATAGTGTGATCTTAGGGTAAAAAAGAATGAAAATGTCTCTTGTTGACTCACTCATTCACTCAACTGAGTTATCAAACATGCCTATTTCTAAAACTCGAGTGGATTGACTCTCTGAGAAGAAAAATCAGCCGACCAAGCTAATAAAGTATATTCGTGTGTGCAATGAAGCACATCTGGTATGTGATAACTGAGTTTATAATCAATATAATTTAATCATGTAGAAATAATCAATTAAGAATAGCACAAAAGTAAATAAATAGCGGAAGAATTCTTATAAGTGAGCTGTACACTTGCATTTCTGTCCACATGGATAATATAATATAAGAGGGTATGCAAAATATTACAAATCTTCTGAGGTGCAACGATTTACAATATGTCTACTTTAATTTATAGTCATTCCCGATCATTTGAAAGTTGGATAGAGTGTAGGATGTGACTACAAGGACTGTTTAACCGGTGGGACTTCGTAGAACACAAGGTTATTGTGTTAAAATGGCTTAGTCAGTTAGCAAGAAAACTAAGCTTGTTTTATACTTATGAAGAGTTTCCACATACATCATTTCGAAAACTGTTCTAGAGAGAGAAAAACAACTAGCGTTGAAGGAAGCTGTTCTAAAAGCTACTACATCTGTTTATAATGGAAAAAGACTATACGGAAAACATTGATATCATGTTCTAAAAAGGAGAGGAGTGCTTTACATATAATCATTTTTGTGGCAGTCAAGTTTTATCTGTTGAAAACCAACCATTGATATCCCCTGCTCTTCAATATTACAATAGTCAATTACAGTAATACTTCTTATATCTATCACTGTACTCATTTAGCAATTGTTAGAGTTTAGATATAAAGTATATTATAGACAAAGCTTTTCATATCCCACTGAATTCGTTATATCAGCGTTCATGTATTAATCTTAATATTTCTTTATGTGTACATTGTCTACAGTTTCTCGTCAAGGTAAACTGTCTCGCCGTAATAGGCATGCTTGAATTTGTAGTAAAACAGTATTTCTTTTACGTTTTTAAAAAAAAAGAATTTAATGCATTATTTAACGCTAATGCTGTGTTATTATCAAATGTGAATTTTTCTTATTTTATTTAATTCCTAACCCTGTATTGCTCGATCCTACCACTATTGCCAAAAACCAACAATATCAATATCATCATCAACAACAACACCAACGACCACCTACAACCTAACCATCTCACATGCACTACTCCTCCTACTGTTTAACCCATTTTTCTGATCATTTTGGTGTCGATCTTGTCATTTAATGTGTTGCATGTGTATGCATGTGTATAAATGGTCACAATTTTTTTGTGATAACTATGCCATAAATAAATGAAAAACAAACAAACACACATATTCACTGTCAATTAGTACCCGTTTACAACGGGGTGAAATTAGAAGCAGTTGGCCAAAACATAGGTAAGTAAGCTGTTTTTAGGTTTTGCTTTCTTTTTTGGAAAAAAACAACAATGCATTTATTTATTTGTTTTGAAGACTAGGTTAGCACTTACTACTCACTGCTGTAGTGAGCGGGTTGTGGTTGGTTTATTATTCATATTGTTACTTCTACTTTTAGGAAAACTTTTACTTTTCTGTGGTTACAATGATTGCCTCCATCATCTGTGCTCACTGCTTTCAGTTTCTACTCTTGTAGCTCACTAGATAACCAATAAACTCAGTGTTACTCAACAAACGCTTTCAATTCCATGCAGTTGGCAATGAGCCACAGTTATTGTATGAAGGCTGGTTATACTGTCCCCCAAACTTCAGTGTGGATTTGTAACCATTAGCCACCGGTTGAAAGTCGAGCGCCTCGACCAGTGAACTATAAGCTCAATTCACAGGTAGACTGGAGGCTTATAATAAGTACATGGGTGATGAAAAGTTCCATTCATCTGTATCAGTTGAATAGCTACTTGATAGGAAGGTATTTTTAGTCACATTGTGGATTGTTTCACTGATGCTGAACGATAAAATATTAACATTAGCAATAGTATAAGCAGTGTTAGCATCCCTTCAGAGAGTAGTATAGCTAAGGCGTACATAGTTCGGCGAAATATGAGTGCATCATTGATTTGGTTGTATTTATGGAGTGGTTAGTGTTTCACCCATTAAGTTAAACAGTCTGTTGCATAAACGGTTTAAAAAGTAGAAACAAAAAATATTTTCCACATAACATATCACTCTACACTTATCGAAGTGGACCATTAAGACTTTCTATATCCTCTATTTTTCTTCTGGTGTATATACTGGTACTATTATAAATCTGGTTTATTTGTTTTTAATTGGAATGCTGTAGTTTCAACTCTGTTCCCTTTGTTAGGTACAGTCTGGGCTATTTGTAAGTGCATATAGTTAGAAAGGAAGGTATTTCTTATTTCGACTTTCTACTTCCTCTATTTTGCTTCCTTGTCACACTGTCTGTCTAAACAACTGTTGGATGTTTGGTTGCTTTCATTTGTTTTGCATGCTTATCAGTGAATCAGTCACTATGCACTCATTTCTAGGTTGCTTTACTTCCTTTGCTAATTATTGAATGCGGCTGATTCGTTAAAAATTGTGAGCGAATTTCAGTTTTGAGTATGAGCTGTTCGTTTTGAAGCAGAAGTGCACGATTATTCGTTGTTTTGTATGTGCTTGCAAAACGCTCATCACTTATGATATGGTTTATTTCAGTTGGGTAGATTGGGAAAAGGCTAAAGCCTGAATTCATCAGTAATTTTCAGTATAAAGAGACGGTTATAACTGTTGAATATCTGAATAACCCTAAAACACTTATATATGTCACATATAATGTTAATGTATTATTTCAGTTTGTGTTTGTCTTCGCTAATTGTATCGAAGCTGTCTCTAAGTGCCGGCTAAATAGCTCTGCATGTGCTATTGTGTGATGGAGATAGTATTCTTATCCAGATTTCCACATATTTCCAAATATCTACTTTTTCCTAAATATGGGTGGTACGTATTGCATTCGTTCATAACTCGTTTTGCCCAGGTTAACTTCAGTTATGGAAATGATTGATTGTGCATTTTTGAGCGATCACAAACAGGAAAAAATATCCATCTAATACTGTACCATTCTTAGCCATTTTCAAAAGATGTTAATTTATCGTCGAAATCAATAATCTTTTCACCCGTTTTGCTGGTGGAATTCATTTGCATTGTTATTGATAATTTGCTGCTCCCCTTGACGAGCACAATGATCATTCTTCTCTTGCTAACATACTCATTGTCTAACACTTACTAATTATTGATTGAAGCAACTAACTCCTTATTCACATATAACCACAAACTGTTCACAATCTCCTTTGAATATTTAAACTTGTGTTTGGTTCTTCTATTTATTGATAGAGTGGTTCTGTAACCTTATAGCCGGCCGACCATTTTTCTCTTTGTTGTTGATTCCTTCTGTCTATTACTAATACTACGATTGTTTGTTTGATTCATCCTTATCGTTCTAATCGTCATTGCTATTAACACTCTTACTATTGTTATTGTTATTTATTATTATTATTATTATCATGATCGTCGTGCGTGGTAGTGTCACATGGATTCTGTAGTCATTCTCTCTCTCTCTCTCTATATATATATATCCTTTAAAAAATTAAACTTCTACACATTCAAGACTTCTTAGGCTACATCAGATATGTAGTGTATTTTCCATTGCTGAATGATTTTTCCAGTCTGTCACTGAATGGTTTAATTTCGTTGCATTGTTTTTCTCAAAAATATTTTCTGCTTATGAGCTGGCTTTGCACTTGTTTGCTAAATCGAGAGAGTGAAAGAAAACTTCCATATAGGATTGTTGTCAGGAGAAATCCTTACAGAGAATTTGTTGTAGACCTAAAGTTTATGTTTGAAAAAGATCATTAAACAGCAACTCATGCAAATGCTACTTGCGCTTGTCTTTATCTTATGATTGCCATTATTTTAATTTTATATTGCATGTGTGAGAGTACTCGTTATGCATTGTAGCAGTATAGTTCTTTTTCGTTTTATTTCTTTTTGTTGCTAGTAGCTGGTTACTTTAACTTCACTTTTTTTATTTGATTCCAGTGACTTCATTTATTTAACACACTATGTTGTGATATGTTCGTGCTTATTCTTATACATATTTGTCTTGAGTGTGTATTATTTATGACAGAAAGCAGTACACTATGAATAGTGCAACTTGTTAACTGCACACATAGTCTCCTGTAATGACTGTTGCTACGTTTAGTCTACTGCTAAATTGGTTTTGAGGTGTGTTATACTCTACTAATTGAAGGAGAAATAATCTAAGTGAAGACTCATGTTGACTGTCTTGTATTGTTACTGAATAAATGTAAAATAGGTTGTAGGCAAGTATATACCCCTTGATTTATAATCAGCTAGAGTAGAGTAGAAATTTATAAAGGTAGACTTTGGAAAATACAGCAAAGGAGCTTTTAGACAGTGGTACGAATACAACTTCCATGTAAATCTTTATGTTCTTTATTCTATATTTCTGTTATTTTTCCTTTTGGACTTTTACAACGTCGATTATTGTAACTGTTTATTTCTCCCCATTTTCCTGTCGATGCGCTATTACACTGTGTAACAGTTTCGATCACTGCCAAAAACAATACGAGGCTTGTCTGTCTGTTGTGTGCCTGCTTGTTTTGTACGTGTGTAATGCAGATATTTAATAAGCTTTCAATTTACTCTTACCTTTAAACGAGCTCTAAAGATCAGTAGAACAATCATCTCATTTTTGTTGTCGCTTGTTAAAAAGGGTAAATATTTTCGATATCATTTTATCAGGGAATGAGTGACTAGAATGTTTCAAACATCAGTACGGGCATTGTATTGAAGTATTGACTCACTGGCTTAAGCACTGAACTTTTAGCCTCCAGATTCCGGGTTCGAATCCCTCTCCATCTGATTTAACCTTTGCGTCTGCATAGTATAGTTAGCCTTTTTTACTCCATTGTGGTATAGTGGGGTTGATCGGGTATCCAAGAGTACACCCACCGTAATGATGAAATCCGAATAACCCTTATATAAATGTGTAGTTGTTTCCACTCAGTAGGTGACTGTCTTTTATTAAGCATTAGTAATCAATGTGGACGTTATGGGTAATGAATAACTTCAATGAGATAAACTCTAAAATACGCACAATTATTCGTTTGATTTCAAGATTATTGTGAAGTTTAAATTAATCCAGCAGAAAATTAGTATTGGAAGTATTTTGTGTAATCGTTTACTCACTTCTGACTTTTGAGTTTCTCCGTTATTTGATTTACATATTTGTGCGTAGATCGGTAGATCGTGTACTCATTAACTTACAATAAGGAAGTGTCAATGAATGGCGTGCATTGGTCCCACATCGATATATTTCTCTGAACTATGGTGGACCCTGTCGAAGTTGCCTCAGAGGATTTTCAAGACTGGTATCAGATGGCTACGGGGGTGTATCCTTACTTTTCTTCATGACTGGATTTGTTTTTATCAAAGAGTGTGTCTGCCTTAGCTGATGCACCATTCTCAGTATTTTTCTCTCTTTGTAAACAAAACTTAGCTACGATTTCGATCTCTTATGTATGCAAGTATGTATATATATATATATATACATATATATTAATGGAAGTCACATGCCATTTTCGCATATTCGCTAGCATTATTATTCCTCTATTGAAAATTATTCAGTACAAATTAATCGAAGAGATTGATTGACGCTAGTATAATTTACTTATTTCGCTGGATTTTGCCCACTTCGTTGTTTTTTCTTTTCTTGGAGAAAGCTTCTATTGTAGAGAAACATTATTCGATGAAACTTAGCGCTTCCAACTGGTGACATAGTTTTCCCAATAATTCCACCGTAGCTGTTAACACATTCTGAACATTAGTAGTATCAGGCATATCATTTGATAGAGTGCCTATGTGTGTTTGTATAATCGGGTTTTGAAGCGAGTTTGTTTTCAACATCCAGTGGATATTATTTGCTGGTCAGGTATAGCAATAAATGGAGTTCAGAGGAAAACAGAAGTTTGATTTTATGCTCAAGAAATATATATATATATATATATATATATATATATATATGAGATATAAATACTCCGTGAACACCTGGGTCATATGATACTGCTTCAGCGAAAATTATGGTTGCGATTGTTAATTTTTATGCTTAAGTTAGATGTGTGTATTTATGCATGTATTCTTCTGTTTGTGTTTGTGTGTGGGCTATATGCATGTACTGATTACTTTCTCTCTCGAATACAGTAATAAGGGTTCTGGTTGACTGTACTCTATTCTTTTGTTCATTTTACCCTGTGGTGTATTTTTGGGTGTTACATAACAAAACTAATAACTACCATTGTTCCCCTCAGTATAGCTAGTACGTGGTCCCATTTTTGGGAGAATAGGTGTGAGCAGGTGTAGGTAGCCACAGGTTCTCCTTTTTTTGCTTCTGTATGCACCAATTTCAGTATACAAGCCAAGTAAGTGTGTAGGAGACAATTGTGGTTGACCTGACTTGGCTAGGGAATGACTACTTAGCGTTTTGGTGTAGGATTGTGGTATTAATCAATGTAGATACTTTATTCGTTGTTTGTAATATATTCCAAAATATCCCATGACAAACATCTTACACTGTAAAAGGAACAGCTGTGGATGCTTAATGTTAAGCATTATTTTCCATAAATGCTAAAGAAAGTCCATGGATCAGAAAGACAGCTCTTTCATCAAGTCTTTGTTCACTAGTAGATTATTCTGTGAAATATTCATTGCTTTTCAAGATCGGCGTTATTTATCTACGTGTTTAACAGGGTATAGATTCAATAAACCCTGTAAATACTCATCATATAGGGTAATTTTCAACTTTGATGAGACGTTTATTGCATACTATAGACTGATTACACAGGAAAGAAATAAAATTATCTCAAAGTTTCAAGTTATTTATTGTCTCTAAAACATCCTGAGCGAAAATCTACGTATGATTGGCATTTGTTTCATTCCTGACAAATGTAAATTGAAGCCATTGAAATCACTAACGTCAACTTTATGTGTAGGGTTAGATAGTGAAGTGATCGAAAGTACTATTCGCTTCACTTATTTAGGAGCGCTTAGCAACGAAATTCTTGCAAATACGTCCAGCATCTGTCAGCTGGATTCGTATCTGCCTCAGACAAGATATTTGGCCGTCCACGAAAGGGTGTATATATTGCTAAGCAATTGTTCCTGTCGTTCTATGTGACTGAAAGACTACTTTAGGTACACGGCCATCATTTCCTTCTGAGCGCCTCTGACTTTATTACTACTACCACTACTACTTGAACAACATCTAAGTTGGGCGTAGTTTTAGGTAAAATAGGTAAGTTAGTTAATAATGTGTTTATGGAATTTTAAATACTCATAGTCTCTGTGGCTGAAAAGAGTATTTGAAACACTAGAAAACGGTGGCCTGGAAACTCACAATATCAGTGGTACATATGCTTGTCATTCATTATCCTCATTATTATAGCAATATTACATTTCTCTACATGCTTTATCTTCGCTTCTCGCTTGTATCATATTTTTTTCGTCCCTTCCTAACCGCTTGTATTAACGTCTCACTACTATGCAGATGTGAAATACAGCAATCCCACTTCCGATAGTGATCATTCAAGTCTACTAATATGATATCGGCAGCATTTTTTGTGATGATTGCCACGTTTTTATACTTCATAGTTAAAAACTAGTTTCTTAAGTATCACAAGTGATCCATGGGAGTTCGAGGTTTACTTTTTATTTTACTTTTTTAATTCATGACTTAAATGTAGTAGCATTTGGGGTTAGAATTGTGTAGTGTTCTGATAGTTTTATCACTTTTCAAGCTCGGATTTTCACGCATTTCAAAGCACGTATCATCTCTGGTGGTACACTCGGCTTAGATACGCCTGAGGACAGTATCTTGGTTACCGAAACTCTAAAAATAATTCTCTTTAGGTGTTGACGCTGTTTAATTAGCGAGGAGTGGAGTACGTTATAATATTCCGTCACAGTAAACTTCTCAACTTTAATGACTGAATCACCGTACCACTTACAAAAAGCATAACTTCGCTGGCTGTCTTCACCACTACTTTGATCGTAAAATTCGAGGGACTAGTTTTCATGTCATGGTAGACGATGGCAGACAGTCATATTGAGCACTTGTCTGTTAAACAGCCTTATTGGCTTAGAGCATGCGGATGATGTTGTACTTATCGGTGGAGACGCAGAGTTTTCTTAACACCTTGGGCAGAAATTTTTGAATGTTTGGCATGTGATTCACTCCAGGCAAATGTAAGATACTGCAGGACTGGACTGCACCGAAGTGAAGTGGTGGGACATGTTGACCGAATCAGTTATTTCAGTAGTTGCATCGTCTCCAATGGGCTGATTGTTGACTACATCTCAGCATGGATATAAAAGGTTCGTGTAGCATTTAATAACCTGCCCATCTGTTTCTTAGAGACGATATCCGGTTATCGAACAAAGGACATATAATCTGTAAAGCAGTTCACCCTGTCCTTCTTTATGTGTGTGAGATATAGCCATTGAGAGTGGCGGATATGAAGAGGCTAGCTGTCTTAGACCACAGATGTTTGCGTCGTGTCTCTCATATTTGTAGGCATTATATAGTGACGAATGTTGAGATTAAGTGTAGAATCATAGATAAAGAACGGAAGTCAATCAATGTAGTTGTGAAGCCTGCGTCCATTGAGATAGTCAGGACACATCTTACTCATGATGAGCCACAGCCTTCCTCAACGGATAATACTAGGCGACACAGAATTCACTCGGAAAAGAGTTGCAGGTGGTCAAACAGAAACCTGAAATCAGTTCACCAAGTCTTTCACAATTGGTTTGAACCAAGAAAGGAGTTGTAGCCTGCCCCCTTGGGGTACTCGGGAGTCTAAGAATCAATGGCTGGAGACTATCATTGATATGGTTCAAAACTGTTATCAGTGGCTCACATGCATTAAGTCTTTGTGATCTCCCATATTCACCAAATCGTTGTGGCTTTGCATGTTACCATTTCATTTTCTTTTTTTTTTACTTCTTCTTCACATTTCTGCTCATTTTAGTATTTTAGAATCTTTTTTTTTCTGTGTTTTGTTCACCTTTGTGTGCTACATGGGCTTTGGTGACTTGAATTGCTGCACTTCTGTGCAAAGTTCTATGTAGAAACTCGGTCTGACGCACCACTGTAGTTATTAGAATAATTTTCACTTCTACTGTTACTTTTTTCTTCAGAGAACATTATACACCTTTGTATTGTTTGGTTGGTTATATGCGAACTTATCTCGCTTCAAAAGTGTCACATTTGGTCTGTTATACTAACTGAATCGTCATTATCATCCGTGTCGTAGAAATAAGCTTTCCTACGCCATCTTTTCATTCCGGTTTCCTAAAATGTGATTTCACCCAACTTTAAAGAATAATTCTGTACCCACATATTCTAATTTGCATACACCTTTGTGAAATAATAACACTGCGTAAGTGTCATTGCTATTTTTTTCGTGTGATAGTCATACCTAATTGTTGTTAAAACTTTTACCTTGATTCAGTGCTAATCCTATGTTAAGCCTACACCATGGTCCAGATTCTCCAGCTAGCGCTTCCCAATCCGATATATTAGTCGGTGATATGGAGAGTAATTTCGAGTTGATTCGAGTAAGCAATATAACATTGTATTGTGTTGTTTCCCTGCTGTAATTTTTGCATAAGGTGTATTTTTCTGATTTCACTGGTGTAAAATGACCAAGATACGGAACAGCTGCGTAAACTATATATATCAGTAGTTTGTCTGTTTGTCATGTTAGTCATATATGCGTCTGAATTACATACGCATTAATTGATAAGTTGGTTGCATGTGGGAGGCTACGTGTTGCAACCTGGAGAAACATAAAACCTATTTCTCAAATACATTGGGTCCCATTTATATATGTTTACATCAGTTATATTTCCATTCTCCCATACAAGTAATGTCTAAGGCTGGTTAAGTTAGACTTGGTGTTTTTTCCTTCCATAACTGCTCTCAGCTTAACTTTCTAATCATATGATAGATTGTTCGAAAGTTCACAGCTTTGATTGTTTCAATGTGTGCATATGCACTGTTAGTGGTCGTTACTAACAAGATTGAAACAACATTTTATGTCGTAAATGATCATCAAAAACAGAACGTATTAATGGAATACAAATCCTTCTAATAGGTTTTGGACCACTGGCGCACACATGGACATTTGACAATTTCGGAACTCTGCACCTAACTGTCTCAGTCAGAAGGTGTTTTCCATAGGGTATGAAAAAGAATGTTAATGATGAAAGCATTATGGCAGAATTCAAGGGCATATTTACAGGCTTGTGGAAAGTGGTCATGTGATGTGACAGCAAATAATGATCTCTGTTGGAGATGAGGTGCCTTATTTCACTATTGTTGTTAACTTTATTTTAAATGTACGAATGCATGCAACTGTGGTCTATCCAGGTCTTTGAGGAATTGAGTTGACGCGTGATGAAAGGTCTTACCGATTTATGCGTACGCATTCGGCAAAATACTTTTAGGTGTGCCAACTTCTGTGGTATATAAAAGTGCTACAGGATGAGTCTATGCCTAGTTTTACTGTAAGGACAGGTGATGAGACGGTTATATATGTAGATCACTCCATTTATTCAGTGAGTTGGGTCGGTCTTAACGAGCTGATTGCTGATAAACTCTACGGATGAAAAAGGATAGTTTGGAATTTATCAGCTGGCGTAATCTTTGGCGCTGACATGATATCCGACTATGTATCAAATGACACATGTACTGTGCACCTGTCCATAAATTCATTAATTCTTGATGTAAACCAAGTAGATTGGTGTACACTGAAGAGTTAACTGGCAAAAAAGTTGTAATTTGTTGCATCCATCAGATTTTTTGTCGACAAAGAAATGTGCGTGTTCGTGTAAAGTACCTCTCATTTTAAATCATTGACGTCCCCACAAATCTGATGTCAGCTTATTTTTGACATCCTTTTTTGTAACTGTAGAAGTCACAGTCAGTGTTTTATTGATGCATGGTGAAAACCAATTTTCAATGGTTAAGATTCATTTGTATTACAACACTGTGTTTATTGTTTTTCACTTTCTTTGCAGTTGTTTTATTGAATAATTTTGTGATATTTTTCTGCCCGTGTCACGTTACCAGGATCAAATGCGAAGAATGGAGGAGCGGGTTCAAGATCTTAAAATTGGCAGGAGTTCTGAAAGTGAAACTCGTTTAGATCGTTTAAGAGAGGAGAATGCTCGTTTAACCGCTCAAGTCACTGTACTAGAAGAACGTTTAAAAGAGGCTGATGCACGATCCAGTCGTGCATTAGAAGCTGAACGACAGCATATGCAGTCAATTCTAGTGAGTTTTTGTGTTCTTATTTATGTTGATGTTGTTATTTCATTCACTTTCAGATTTCACTAGTTAATCTCCAGAATATCATCTCATATATTTTGTTTTGTACCGGAAGTTTCTGAATCTATACCATACTGTTGCGTATGATTAGTCGGCACTTGTTAGTGATAAACGGAACTGCCGCTTTCATCATTATTTACTTATTAATTATTATTATCGTAGCAGAGCACTCGCATACCGACCAAAAATAACTTATCAATTTTACTACAATTGTGTGTTAGTCCTCTCTCCAAAAATGTACAGCTTCCGTGTGTACGTGTGTGTGCATGTCTGTCAGCTAACATTGCTCTCGGTTTCTGTTCTGTATTAATTACAGATCAGTTAGAGAACCACTGGAGAACTTGGGAGTACTAGATAGCTGTTTCGTCCTATTTTGGAACTCTTCATTGGTACGCACCCACCGGGGCTCGCACTCAGGACCTTCTAGTTACAAGGCGAGCTCGTAGACCATTCAACCACTGGGACCCGATTCAATAGCCCATGAATTCTGATCACACAGATAGTTAGAAAGCCTAAGGAATACAGTTCCTGGTGGTTCGATATTTTGATACCTGTTTACAACAGTGAACTGAAATGTTTTTGTTACAAGTATTAAGTTAAGATCATTTGTCGAGTACGAAAAGGCTGCATTTTCATCAAAGTAGAAACGTAGAAAGGAAATCATCTGAACGTCTTATCAGTAGGCATTTAATGTTGACAATATTATGCATACATACTACATACACATAAATAGCCAAAGATGAATGTCAGGTGTACTATCCTCTGATTGGGGTTCTAAATCACTGACTGATGATTGATAGTTGGGAGTCTGAAACACCAATGAAACCCTAATGGCTGTGTTTAATTGCAGCTTAATGTTAGTGACCACTTCACATCATGTTTTCATTTTCATACTGTACACTCTCATCCAGCTACATAAAAAATATTGACAGTAATCTATGGAAGGTGTGTTTTTTGTTTTAAAAGTTTTTGAGCAAAGCCGCTTTGATCGATTCAGACAGCATCATTAGTAAATAAAGAATTCTGTCTCAGTTTTTAAATCAACTCATATAAAAAGTGAGAAATTGAAAAGGTCAGTCAATACACATGAAGTAGCAGGCCATTAGATAGTAAGGAGGATAGTGACAGAAGAGTGACACTTAATCTACAACCACAATTTTTGCAGCAATATACTTAGATAATAAAAATTGCCTGCATAAGTAACAACGCATTGTTTTATTACTCAGTAATGAAGAATTCTGTTGTTTCAGTGAGCTCATTTTTCTCTGACCACGGTGATTTTTGTGTTTTTTGAGCATTCATCTTATGATTCATTTCTACAATATGCTTTCTTAGTGACAGATAAGTCTGGGTTCCGCTTGCCTTCATCCCTAGACTTTTGTTTGAATATGGTGATTATTCCCTTCTGTGTACGCGTGTCTACACACGCACACACACACTAACGTATCCGTTTATATAATGTTAAATTCACAATTTGTAATGTACAGAGTTCGATGGGTGAAATTTCACCATAGTTTCCTTTGGAAACGAAGCTTTTCAGAACACAATGTGTAATCTGTTTGATAAAATAAATGGTAATGAAGAAAGCAAGCATATTTGCGTGGAACTGTATACTACTTACTGATTGAAATGAGTAGTGGCTTACCACTCATATCAACCAGTATCACTTGCTGGGGAGATCAATATGATCGGAACACCAAACAGCTGTTTCGCTTGTTTGGGACCGAGCTCATCAGTGGTGTATCCGGTTTAACTCAGCTAAAAGAGCCGAATCAGTAATGTTAAAATTTGCATCGAAGCGTATGTTCTGTCTCCTCAATAACTGATAAGCATAATTGCGTAGTATGCCTATCCGATAAGAGATTTTAGTCTCCATCTAAAAGTTATATTGCTTTTCCCTCCATCTATTGTAGTGTATAATAAACAAAACAGTCGCCTTAGTGATGGAATGAAGTGCGTGTTCTAACGTCACAGGTGGTTGCTGTCATTTTGAAACGTTCAGTCCATATTTGTATGTCTTAGTATGTATTTTCCTCCAGATAATCTATCCTAGCAATGTTATCATCTTAAGATAACAGTGACACTCAGAAAGTTGACGCAAAAACTTGCCTAAGGTCTTTTTCCAAGCTTGGTGTTTGTGTGTGTCTGTTCAAATTGTAATATAGCACTTACTAGTTCCATATTCCCCACGTTATTTTATTGTGATTATTTTGAATTTCCTAGTTGATTTATTTCGATAGGTAACAACCGATACGCACATTGTGTAATAGTGGCTCATCAGCGTAATGGATAATGGTACTGGTGTGTAGTCTCATTTGGGACTCCTTCACTCACCGGGGATGAAGGTACATTCAGTTGACTAGCCTAAATAGGATGAAACGTTCGGCGTAGACTCTATCACTAACCCTTACCAATCGTATAACTTTTAGATACATGCTTTATTGTAATTTAGCTCGTCTACTGAACATGCGACATTCGTCCATTTTAACTGTTTCCAGCTACACAATAATAGAAAAACCCTGAAACTATTAGATATAGATAATTTACTTTTTTGTTAGCGGGAAAGTTACTTAATAAACCCGGATAACACCATACGTCAATCGATGGCTTCTGTTCCACCGTCAAAGTGAAATTACAGATAGAGATTATTTTACTTGTGGTGATTATCAACGAAACTGAAGTCGGTTACAGGATTTCATCATGAGCTGACATTGGTTAGGGAACCATTGGAAAACCACCTGGGAGTACTGGACAGCTGTTTCGTCACAGTTTGGGACTCTTCAACTGTACGCACCCACCGGGGTTCGAACCCAGGACCTTCTGGTTACAAGGCGAGCTCGTGTACCACTAAGCCACTGGAGTCAATCATTCCGATATTAAGTACAGTGGAACACAATATGTTCAGTGTGAACGATTCATTTCTGCATCTCTTTGTTCTGTTCTTGTGTGTATCAGTTGCTTCAAGTGGTAGTAAAATCAGTGATCTTTGGTCTTTACAATTCCTGCTTTCATTCTGATTACATCCTTTTTGTATCATGATTAAAGTGGTTATACTTTCGATCATGTTTTTCTATGTGTTATGGCTCTTATTATTATTATTGTTATTATCGTTTAATTAAAATTTTCTTATCTTTTCTTTTCATGAAATAAAACCTAAACATAGATAATTGTGTGATGTGAAATTTTTTGAAAAAAAAGAGATACCAATTAGTGATAGCGTGACTTCTTCTTCATCTCGTTAAACACTAAAAAAAGAAGAGAGGAGAAAGTAAAAAGGAATACTGCAAATGTGTATGTCCATATCACATGGACTCCACTTGATTAAATTGTGTTGGTAGTTTTCTTTTCCCTCTTAAAGAAGTTTATTATTTTAATTTATATGATGTGATCTTTCTCGGATCGATAACTATTCGATTTGTTTTGTTAGTTTGTTTGTGTATTCATCTTTATTCCATCATCATCAGACGCTCAAGAGATAAGGTGGGAGAAAAAGAGAGAGTTTGAGTGATGCATACTGGTGTTGTCCTCGTCTTCGTTATTGTTGTTGTTGTTGATGGTGATAGTGATGGAGATGATGCTAACAGAGATAAAGAGCAAGAGGGAACGTTTTTGCTCATCTGTATTTATTAACTGGTTATTGATTATTCTGGAGGTGGTGGGAAGATATGCTTAGCAAGATGTAACGCTGACTTTAAGTGTCCAGATTCTTTTGTGTCGTTAACTTGCAAGACTGCTAACTTGTTAATTCTCAATAGCGTACTGAGTTCATGAGATAAAAGAATAAATATTTGTCTACCTCAAAGTATATTGTATTGCAACCAAGGATTGATTGAAGTATAATTCAGCAAACTGGAGACTTGAGAAGAATAAAAAAATAGAAGGGTAGTTTTTTTTGTATTCATCAAACACTTTCGATGAGTTATCAATGGTAGCATGGGAATTGTTTGGTTAAGACGACTTTATTATTACACCTTCAACCGAGATGTTTAAAAAATTAGTCATTATTACATTGAAATCAATTTAAATACCTGTTTCTTAAGTGATAATTTTCTTTATAATTCACTGATTATTTTTCGTCTATTTTGCCTTTTCTGTCTTACAGTCACGCTCTTCACGAGAACATACACAAGAATCAGAAAATCTACGTGCTCGTATCAGTACTCTGGAGGCGGAATGTTCTGAATTACGTGTTCAGGCAGCACGTATCAAAGCCGATAACCAAGCGTGTATCATTGTGGGTTCATTTTTGTCAACATATTGTATTTTTTAAATATGTGTTTCAAACACTTTTGAATTAGAGGTTAGATCATGGAATAACATTAGCTAGATTTAACTATTGCAGAACGAAAAGTACTAAGAGCACAGCTTTTCCTTCTGGTTTGGGCCCTTTAGCAGTGCGCAGAAATCGCCTATCCAATAGTCTAACTCACGACTTTCAGGTTTCGAGGCGATCTAGTTGACTGTTCCACTGCTATTACGAAATTCAACGGTCCATGAATTCTAACTTCTGCCAATTTGTGATACATATCTTTCTATCTCATCCAGTATCATTACATTATCATTCTTCCCTTGGGTTCTGAGTGGAACCTAGGGCTTCAGCAGCAAATCTCCATCTCACTCTGTTGTCTTGTTTGGCCGGTTGCACACGACTGCCCACTAACTTTCATTTCTTCTTCACATGATCTCCTTCGTGTTACCCACTCGTGTTTCTCTGAAGGGCGTGGCGCCACTCAACAGTCTTCTCAGCATATGTTTGGTCTTTCTCTATTTCCTTCTTCATATATGTTGAATGAAAGAGTTCTTAGTTGATTTGCGACCTGTCAGAATTCCTCGTTGCCTATCCTTTCTGTCCATGTAATCTGCAGTGCCATCGAGAGAAGGCAGTTGTCGATGGAAATCTGAAGCCTGATGGAAATGCTTTTGGTGGCGTACCGCGTCTCTGGACCACATAAAGTACTAACCTCGCGTTGTGTACTAATCTGTCGTAAGTCTTCAAAAAGAGGAAAGGTTGGGCGCTGGGTTAGTGACCCTGCCCCGGAAAACAAATCCAATCACTACAGAAAATTGAAGATGCAGCCAAAAGAAATGGGAATGGGATACTATAGATGTATTTTATTAACAACATAAAAGTACGTGCAACTCAGTAACTACCTGTGTGCATATGTGTATACAAATGTAGTATGTTCTTATACGTTAGGTCAAGGTCGATGAAGGCGCCACAATTCTACATCAACTTTCAGTATACTGTATATAATATATAATAAATGGACTGAGAAAAGCTGTATTCTGCGTCTCTACGTATTTTCTCGAAAAAAAAAATGTAGGTGAATTGTAAAAGTACGATCTCGCCTTACTGTTGAGGTTGTTCTCGGAGGGAAGTGGTGGCTCAGCGTGTCTGTCTGGTGTTTTTGAGTTTATTTTTCCAACCCAAGCTTAGTCTTCTCAGAGCTGTGGCACCTGAATTATTAAATTGTATGTCGGTCACACTTATCTCCCTGTGACTATCACAGGAAGATTTGTTACTTTCCTTATGAACTGGGATTACTATTGGTGACAACCCCACATTCTCATACAGTAACTAGTATCCTAGTTATTCTAGTGACGAGTTAATCACTTTCATCCTTCACATCCTGCTGTTTTGCCTCGTTTTAGATCACAGAGAGCTCTATCCGTTTTGCTTTTAGGTTGAAGACTGCTGTCTGTGTCGCATTTTGGTTCGGGTTAAGATCGTGGCTATATATATGTAGGGTAACTGGAAGCCATTTAGACCAGTAATGGTTTTTTCTGGAGATAATTTTACTAATCATAGCTTATTAAAACTTGTTTGCCTAATTAGTCTGGATAACATGGACATCATGTTATCGATACTGCGAATCAATGGCATTTATTGATACTCGACTACAAGCTAGCAATAATCTTTGAAACAGTTTTTGTAGAGGAGTGGATTCGCTCCCAGTTATGCCAGCGTTTTGACTAGTGAGGTTTGTTGTTCTCTATCGTGTGAGGTTTGCTTACCGCTATCATACAAAAAAACATAGGTTGTTTTTCAAACCGTTTGATGGCTAATTAGGACGAAAAAAGTTGTAAGCTTTATCAAGATAGTCCATGGCGAAATCTCTTGATGCATTTAGCACGTGAATTCATTGCTTTGCAGCATTTTATATTGATATTGCAGCTTAATTTATTCAGAAGTCAGCAGTGGGCAATTAACAAAATTATACTACTTTTTTATTCTATTTGAACTTAACTTCTGTTTTGTTTATGCTATATGATATTAAACATAGTGTTTATTGCGGTGTTTCTGTGTTCAATTTTGCACTTAACTATCACAGGATCTTCGACGAACTAATGAACAATTCAGTGAGTCACAAGAACAGGTTCGAAGTCTTCAAGAAGAGATAAATTCAATGAAAAATAGACATGCTAAAGAAATGGAGGTTTTAAGAAAGGATCGTGATCATGCTGTACATGTGAGTTGTGTTTTCTTCTCATTTGATTATATCTGCGTTTGAAAGTGTGCTGCTTGTTTTTTCTTTCCTATCTGAATGTATTTCTATTTCACTTGTTTAGACTTACAGTAAAGACTGATGTCACTTGACTTGATACCTTGTGAACCCTTTGAAAAAACACTGATATCATATGGAAGTTGCCTATCCCGTTTATACTGACCGGCTGATTTTCAACATAGAACTTTGCACAGAAGTGCAGCACTTCAAGTCACCAAAACCCATGTAGCACACAAAGGTGAACAAAACACAGAAAAAAAAAGATTCTAAAATACTAAAATAAGCAGAAATGTGAAGAAGAAGTAAAAAAAAGAAGAAAAAGAAATGGTAACATGCAAAGCCACAACGATTCGGTGAATATGGGAGATCACAAAGACTTAATGCATGTGAGCCACTGATAACAGTTTTGAACCAGCCATTGATTCTTAGACTCCCGAGTACCCCAAGGGGGCAGGCTACAACTCCTTTCTTGGTTCAAACCAATTGTGAAAGACTTGGTGAACTGATTTCAGGTTTCTGTTTGACCACCTGCAACTCTTTTCCGAGTGAATTCTGTGTCGGCTAGTATTATTCGTTGAGGAAGGCTGTGGCTCATCATGAGTAAGATGTGTCCTGACTATCTCAATGGACGCAGGCTTCACAACAACATTGATTGACTTACACTCCTTATATAAGATACTCTATGCCTAGCCTGGATATTACTCACCATATTTTATCTCTTAACACGGGAGATAGAGCGTAGACTTCTGTGATTAAGAATGGCTAGCCTTTTGCGTATGGTTTTACCCTGTTTATAATAAATGATTTTACTCAAAAGTGAAGATTAGTCTATCTCGCTGCCACTAAAGACAGGCACAAATTCAGTTTCCACAGCTGGCTTCCATGTTATCTACTTTAGTTCTAATCGAATTCTGTTGATCATGAAGTGTTGTGCTGTGTGATTAATATATATATATATATATATATATATATATATATATATATATATACGTATATATATATATATGTATATATACATCTGAGAAGTGGGATGTCTTCAGTGTCATACTTTCACATTCATTCTCGAGTCATTGTGACTGTTTGTAAAACTTTATTCGTTTTTAAATCCAATGCATCACTTAATTTCGTGTAATATTAAAGTGTAGGTTAGCTCACGCAGTTGACTTTAGTGTAGCTGCGTTCTTGAAGCTGAATCGCTAATTTGAGAAGTTTTTCATTGTCTTTCCAGAAAGGTGGAATTTCAAACAAATTGATTATTCAATGAAGGCTTGTTAAGTACACGATCTAACAGGATCTTTTTCTCTGTGTGTTTTTCTGGCTTTATGTGTGTAATAGAATACTGTAGATGCTTTCTTTTTTATTGAATTGGTCAGAAGAAAAGTATCATTTAGTTTCTGTGTACTTCAAAACAAGAGAAAAAAAACAAACAAACAAAGAAAGAAACAAAATAGTGTGGGAAAAAGAAAGTACGAGAGATAGGAGCAGTGTTGGGCTGTGTGTGTGTATGTTTGTGTATGTGTGTGTGAGTAAAATGTGTACAAAACAAAGAACAGAAACCAAACTGAAAGCGTGAAACAGGTGGAAAGAGAAAACAAGCAAAGAAAAAAGAGATCAAGAACTTCAAGTTTACTTAGATTAGATTTAGACTCATGTTTTTTTCCTTGTATATAATCACGAGAAGAATATAAAGAGATAGCCTGGATTGGATTGAATTCTGTGAATGCTTCACACGAAAAAGAAAACCAGAGGTGTGTACTAATGTATAATGCCAGGATTGTTGAGAATTGTTTTTGGATTGTTTTCTCTTTTTACCACAAGCACAGAGTGTGTGTGTGTGTGTGTCGCGTAATGTTCTGTGGACAAAAATATTAGAAAATAAAATTGTATATAGTAGTGTAGTATAGAGTGCATCGTTACCTCGCTCTTCTTTCTCCAACAGTTTTATTTATGTACTAATGACATTCAGAGCATATTATTTATTATTACTATTATTGCTATTAAAACTCAAACTTGGTACATTATGGTAACTACAAGAATGCGCCACACGGAATCAGAGCCGTTGTATACCATAAGTTTGGAATCAGGCTTTTCCAGTTCCCTTAGTCAAACCAACATTTTCGCCAGTCCGTCTGTAATCACCAGACGTTCACATTCACTCTCATTATATCTCTGAGGAACACCGCTGCGTGAAGGTCAGTGAACGAGAATTACCCGATACGGGCTATGAACGCGTGATCACATGAAAGCATGAAAGCATTCATTCCACCGTCAGTGGTACAAAGTCCTTGATGAGAGAACAGCTTATTGCTCATAATCATATCAAAGTATTCACATAACTTTCACGTTTTGTTTATATTACATCCGTTATTTCTTATCCTTGTAGAACTATAATTCCGTCCCACCTTATAGTGTGTTAGTGATGAGTAGATTGAAATAGCTCAGGCGGGTGAATCATTCTGCACTTAACTAAATTCCCTATTTTTTGATAGTGTGAGAGAGAGAGTTACATTCTAAAAAACGAAGTAGTTGCGAGGAGAGAGAAAGAGAGGTTAATCAATGAATCCTTGTTCCGTACACCAAACACATTCGTAATAGGGATTACGTAACATCATTACTAGATATACAGAAAATAATACTACAAATAATATGAAAGAATAAGAAATGACAGACTGTGTAGTCAAAATGCGGGTTATGTGATCACCTCTGCGTGATTATGGTAAATAAATTCTGCTCGAAATGTCATTAGTGTATAATTTCTTACCTATGAATACTGAAATTTAAAAGAAATAAAAATAGTTGTGACGCATCAGTCAGCTTGGCTGCAACAACGTTGTCTTAAGTGACATATTTCCATCGACACATGAGACAAGATAGATGCACTGAAGACTACCAGCCAACTATCTACCTGATCTTGATTATGAAGAAGTCTGAATAGGCAAGAGTTCATCATGGGATTCACTGATTAATTATTTTTTAAACCTTATTTTCGTCAAACATTCATGTCTTTTGAAGGCTTTCAATTCACAGATGTTTCTGACAAGACAAGGAACAATAACAACAAATTATTTATTGGGGATAAATAAGTACGCACCAATGAAACACCAGTTTATCAGATCAGTTATATAATTACTACGTAATAACAGTAGTGATGGTAATAATAATAATAATAATAATAACAATAATAGTAAGTGCTCTTCTTGCATGTGTGATAGTGCTTAATGCACGTTGATCTTGAAATGATGCACGGTGAAGAAGATAGGTATCATTAAGGGTAACTTGACTCTAATTGTGCATTATGAATATAATAATGCATTTCAATAAAATTTGTTTCGGAAGAAAAATCATCCATATTCTTCTCTAGTGCTGTCACAACGTCACTTTGGCTGTCAGAGGTCGAGTTTGCAATGTTTTCGTTCGATCACTCTTGCTTCATGTCTATGAAGCCCTCTCCCATGCAGCTGTGATGACTCTCGTGCTCAATCATCGTTGTCTCCGTAGAATCGACTGAATAAATTTAAGCGTGTATATACCTCAAGCGTTATAGGTCACTTTTTTTCTACGAACGATTTTTCGTACAGTGTGGTACATTCAACTTTCGCGTTGTATTTATGCTGTTTACTTTGTTGCTATATCTTGTTAATATTGATATATTTTGTATTTAGGTGTTAGAAGAATTAAATGGTTCAATGGGAGGCAAACGACGAAGCAGAGTGGGTTCAGGTTCAAGCACTATTGCTGCAGCGGCAGCTGCTGCAACTGGCAGCTCTGAAGTTTTAGCACGTTATCAAGAAGTTCAAGAGATCGTCCGTCGGTTAACTGCTGAAAACAAAGCATTACGACAACAAGTGGAAGAAGCTCAAGAAGAACTCCTTACTCAGTCACTCCAACAAGGTAGGAGTTTGATACGATCTTCTGAGAAAAGTTGGGCTGCTGAAATCGATAATTGCACTAAGGAAGAGGTGAGTTTTAAATTGAAATTGCCAGCCTAACTTTAATGCACTAGTTTACAGATGAAATACAGATAGGCGGTATTTTAGAAAAAAGAAATTGTATGATGTAAATGCTACGAATGTTCCTTTTGGCAGGAGTGTTACTTGTGTTTCTTTTCAATAATCAACAAGCAGTGCTAACTAATCCCTCTCACATGATGCACAGAGTACTTCTTTTTAGGTGATTGCCATTTTGTAAACCGGACTTATGATTTGTCGTGATCCTGTGGTGAATTCCGCAGATATATATATATATATATATGTATATATGGAATGAGAGTGAAAAGCAAATGAAGGATGACTTCTGGAACTACATTTATTTCAGATTAAGCAGTCACATGGTATATAGTTAAATGCACATAACATATAGTGCAATAATAATGCTTCATTGATCATCGAGAAAGTGAGGTGATGTCTCAACGACCATCGATCATGTGTTGCGTTTGTGTGTGTGTGTGTGTGTATACAAGCAAACAGACAAATATATACTGTTCTACATGCTCTTTTGCGTATAACAACTTGGTTACAGCATTTCACGCTAAAATAGTTTACTTAATGTTTTGATTTCTTTCGTTATCTTTCTAATCGTGAAGTTGATTAATTTAAAACGTAAAGCGACAATGATAGTGTGTGTAGAGGAGAGAGAGAGAGAGGCTGAGTGAGCGAGTGAATAGATGAGACAGAGAAAGCAGAAAAATGAAGGCGAAAATAATCGATGCAGTTCATTCTGTGCTTTGTAGAGATATGAATTTGTAATAATAATAATAATAATATTGTCATTATTATCATCAGTTAATGAGTTAGGCAAGAATATATATATATATATATATATATATATATATATATAATGGGTGTTGATATGTATGTTAGCTTGTATGCGTCATTGTTTATTCACTAAAGCAAATTAGAAACTTTATAAATAGAAATTTTGTGAATATGTGTTCCTATTGTTTTTCTCTAATTTCCGTGTGTATACACACATATATGCACACATCACATTATTATGCGCGTTTCACAGCTGCAGACACTCACTCAATTATTTCAGCTATTGATTAATGGCTTTTTAAGAAGAAAAGGAAAGTCTTTTTCTTGTTGTTGTTGTTGTCTATAATTAGTCCTCTGTTAGTCTTTGCTTTGTTTGCTTGTGTGTGTGTGTGTGTGTGTGTGGATGAAATGTGTGAAACGTGGTCCCTTAATATATTCACGTATGGAACTATGATTATGCTTTAATGCATATTAGCTGTGCTGTTAGTTTATTGAGTAAAATGGGTTAACACTCGTCTAATAATTTGCTTAGAATAAATTGTACATGACGTAAATATTGGTTGATTGGACTTGAGCGTCAAACAGTTGTGATATGAGTTTGTGTTGGTCAAGTGATTTTTCAATAATCACAGTCGGTTAAATGTTTGCAGTATGCTGTGAAATACTGAAGTAGAAAGAAGTATGTGAGTATGCAGTAAGAATTCGTGTTCGCACACACTTTGGTCAGATTTGATTTTTGTAATCTTATTGAGTCTAAAGTGAATACGTGAGTGGTAAACGTGTAGAACTTGTGCAAACTTTATGGGGAAGAGAGGGGTAAAGTTGTTTGCCTGAATTGTCTTAGCTTTGGTGAATATCTACCATGAAATAATTTAAGGCCCAAAATACCTGGATACTTTTCAGTCCACCTTTCAAGTATCGGAGAATCGAGTGTCATCACAAGGTCCTTGTTGTTTCGCTCCCAGAGATCTCTGTTGCTGATCTTTTCTGGCCATCTGATCTTGAGTATTGAGCGAAGACAACTGTTAATGAAGGTCTGTAGTTTGTTTGAGATGCTGTTTATGACGCGCCAAGTCTCTGACTTCACATTGGATTTGAAAATCCGGATCTTTATTTTTGATGCTGAGTGCTGTTGACCTCCACACAGACTTGAGAGTAGTAAAAGCTTGTCTTGCTTTTCCGATTCTTGCTTTGATATCCTCGTCAGTTCCGTCCGCCTGTTGTTGAAACGATGCTTCCCAGGTAGGTAGAGGAGGTTGTTTTTTTCATGTTCCTCCCATTTATGCTAATCGTTGTCTGTTGTTGCTGTTGGTGGTGTTGCCCAGGAATTTTCATCACCTCTGTTTTGTCTATGTTCACCTGAAGTCCAATCTTTGATGCTTCTTCTGCTAACTTGTTGCTTTTCACTTGCACATCTTCCAGTTTTTGGGAAATCAGACAGATATCGTCAGCGAAGTCCAGATCCCCTAAGATTTTTGTGTGGGTTCATTTTATGCCTGTTTCCTCATTGCCCGCTGTCTGTTGCGTTATCCCTTCTGCTGCAATCAGGAAAGTCATTGGCGATAGTAGGCAGTCTTGTCTTACTCCTGTCCTCACTTCGAAGGATTCCGTAATTTTCCCGTTGTGGATTACTTGGCATGCAGCATTGTCGTACAACTGTTGGATGAGAAGTATAATTGTCGGCGGCAACCCGTAGTAGCGAAGTAGTTGCCAAAGCACCTTTCGATCGACGCTGTGTGCTGAAGGCCTTTTCAAAGTCGATGAAGTTGAGATAGAGAGGTGACTGCCATTCCAAGCTTTGTTCAATGATGATCCGTAGTGTGGCGATTTGATCAATACATGACTTGTTTCTCTTGAATCCAGCCTGTTCCGGTCGAAGTTTTTCATCCAGGGCTTGTTTGATTCTCTCCAGGATGATGCGGCTTAGTATTTTGCTTGGGATGGACAGAGCATAATATCGAGTCAGTTCTTGCATTGACTTAGGTCTCCTTTCTTTGATAGTTTAAATAAAGTATCCTTTCTTACATAACATAATTAACTGACACGATTGTGGTTGAGGTAGTACTTAACTGGATGGAATGGAGAAAGCATTATTAAGAAGAGAAGTTGACTTTAAGTAACCTAAACGGAGTTAAGTGTTGTCAACAGAGGTGAAAAATAGTTACCCTGCACAACGCTTTCGTATGCAGTGTTTGTGTTTTCCAAAGAAACACATACATGCATATCGAGGTCAACAAAAGAGGTAAATTATTCCACACACAATATCGAATCAAGCTCCTGCTCAAGTGTATCAACTGTAACCTATCAGCCAAGACAGTGCATTTGATACATTTAGTCAGACGATGTTTCATTACTTCGGTTGTGATGACTTCTCTTGAATCCCAAACTCAGAGTTGTTGTCTTCATTGGCACCGACTGACCTGAACTGAAATCCCAGCGTAGAATGTATCACAATGGTACAGCAGATTAGCTTGTCACAATTCATGATGGCACAAATACAAACAGGCAGTAAAAATAATCAATCAAAAAGACTAAAAAAAATAAAATTATACGGGAGAAGGAAAAAATTACATGGAGAATAATGACTATTTAATATGTCTAGGAGATGACAAATAAGTGAATGCATCTGAGCCATTTAGAACGACTTTGAGCTATGTCATCTATAGTCTCCACTTATTCCTTCTTAGCCTTGTTAGATGGTTGGAGGCAGCCGGTAAGATGCCTTGGTAATCGTCAGTAAGTTTTATCTGAAATCTTGGAGGAACTCATGTCCTTTCTAAATTTCGAATCTGAATTACCCAGTGCTGCAGTCAAAGACGTTACCACTGAGGTATTTGAGTTGGAGATCGACCTTCTGTAGAACTATACTGGATACTGCTACCTAGTATCTAATCAAAGTTCTTAGACTTCTTTAGTACAATATTTGAATGTCCAGCGGCTATCCACTGTGGTTTTTTGTAACTGACTTCATTGCATTATGCGTATATGCCAGTTAATAATTCCAATGTATTTCAATTATTCAGGTTGTCGAATTGTTATCCAAAGAGAAGTATGCCAATGAACAGTTACGCAAATACATTGATGATTTGATAACACGAATTATTGAACGACACCCGTCTCTACTAGAAATTGCCAGTGGTGGTGGAGGCTCATGAAAGGGGAAAAAAGAGCCAGCCAAAGAGAATTTGTATCTATATACCTATTTGTCTAACTATCCATGTTACTTATTGATCAGTGACTAAAAGGCACACTTATTTGAGATTTCGTTCTTCTCTTTTCTTTCACCCCTCCATTTTTTATAAATATATATTAAATAAATAACATGCATGCATATTTTTTTCACAGACAAACTGTCATCCCATTTTTGTTTTTATTTTGCTCATGTTTTTGACCACAAAAACCAAGTTACATGTTGCATACTCATTTTTATATATACGTATTTGTATATTGTATTTGTGTGAGGGCATTGTTATTCAGAATTTGGTTTGTTTTCTTACTAACTGAAAGTGAAACAACGTAGTCATAGCAGTAGTAACATGCACGCGCTCCCCTATAACTTGTAACTTTTCTTCTTCTTCTTCTTCTTACTTAAAATATTGTGTTTTGAAAACATCTTTTTCACCTTTCTCGGTCCACTTTCTTTTGAGTGTGTCTGTTTATTCATCTATATATATATCTGCGCGTCATGTTTTCTGCGTAAAGCAGCGTGATTGATGACGTAGCAGGTCATATTACGCAGATTAGTAGTAACATTTTTGACGAAAACAATACCGTACAGCACATGAAATTCGCGTAGTTAGAGGAAAGAAAGAAAAGATTCTTTTTTTACCCTCCAAACATTTAAGCTAACCTACACACTTTTCTATGTTTTGATAGAACTGAATAACACGATACATTCCGTAATTATTACTATTAATATTTTTCTGGTTCTTTATTTATGTGTTTGTTTGTGCTACAACTGCAAGCCTTCTAACCCTTGAACCTGTTTCAACTTGTGATTACCTCTCTTCTGGGCTGTATTACAGCAACAGATTCTGCAGTAGTGATGTGATAGTGTTTCAGAATTTTTTTTCTGTCGTTTCCTTTTTCTAACACAGCCTAAAATGTCAATTTTTAACCCCTTATATATATATATATATATATATATATATATATATATATATATATAATATGAGACGTGTATGCACATATCATTTTCGTCTTTTCATTATTTAATATCTATTGTTTACCTGTTGGTTGAACGAAACCTATTCTCTTTTCCCCTCTTTTGTTTTTCTATTAACTAATGAGATGATATTAGGCTTATTGACCAATGGGAGGAAATGACTGTTATTCATCAGTAGTATACACTGATGGCAATGTTTCTCTTTCTCTCTTCCTTTATCCCACGTCTGTTTTTAGGCTAATGTGATCGATCATATGAGTTAAATATGAATATGGTGAAATTTGTAATCCTCTCTGTGCGCTATTTTATGTGCGATCACTTCTTTCATCTTTGACACGTTTTGCTTACTACTCCCATTATTACTGCGTTTAACAAGTTTCTGTCTCTTACCGTACGCTGCCTTTACGAGACTGTCATCACAGATATAACGTTTCCCGTGTATTTTATCATTGTTTGTTTGTGCTCAAGCGCGCGCGCATGTGTATGCACACGCGTTAAATATTTTATTTTTTTATCACTTGTTTGAGTGATAACCAGAGAAAAACAGTAAACACGCGCATATTTTGAAAGCGACGCGTTGTGATTGTTTCATAAGCATATTTTTTATTACTGTTTGTTTAACAAACCGCCTAAATAAAGCATTGGTGTTGACTTATTCAACATTGGGGGAGTGCTTTTTTCCATGTTCAGCTAATCAATATACGAAGAAGACTCAACCAACTTCGTTATATTGTATGTTTGGTTTTTTGTCTCTGAGAGATAACATACATATCCAATATTCCTTTGTGTATAGCATATCCTTTTTGGGTTAACCACCTTTTTTGTATCCTATTTCTTTCTCATCGAATTGTTTTTGTTTTCTTTTATACTTGTTTTCTCTGTCGCCCTTTTGTTTTCTATACGGAATAGATTATATATATATATATATATATATATATATATATATATATATATATATATATATATATATATATATATCAAATATAGTTTATTACGAAAAAAATTGGACTTATTATTACTTTTTGTTTTCACCGAATGCATTACCCTTCGTCACTCACTACTATCCGTGGAATTTAATTGTGATAGTTAACGTTTATCATGTGTTTCGTACTTATGCCTTATCTAAAAGCACTCAATATTTGGAGAAAAAAAAGCAATTTAGGTTTGCGCGCACCCTATTCACATTCATCTTCCACGTGGTTGGAAATTATTCGATAATGAAGAAACAATTCACTTGAAAAAACCTGCCAGTTCATAATGTCTGTTTATGTAACGTGAATTCCATTCTATAATTGTTTGATTTTTGAATTGTTCTTGTCAGTTTGCATCGAGATTCGCGTTTATTACAGTGATATAGAGGATGTGTATTTTCGCATCTATATTCCAATGGGGAATGGTGTTCTGATGATTTATTATTTCAAGCGGTAATGTACTGTCCATTGAAACTTTATTTCTGTCACCTGTTTTGTTCAGGCAAAATAATCCGCCTTCGTAGACATACAGGCTTTTCGAATGAGCATGTAATGATGCCTTTAATCTCACTCTGATGTTATACCTCAGTAGCTTAGTGAATAACTCATTAGCTTTTGAAACTATAGGTACTGGATGAGGATACTGTCCCTTGATAGGATGCGAGTACAGTTGTCTAACAAGTCCCGATTAGGCAAATACGCACACCCTTTGTCCGCCTCGCTAGTTACTATGCGTCAAAAGTGTCTCCGAGGCACTCGTTTTAGGAGCTCATATGCCAACAGCAAAATGAAAGAAAACGGGAACAGGCAGGTTTTAATAAATTGCCAACCCATTTTAAAGATGTATTCAGAAATGCCCAACCTTTTCTCTTCACCAGCATTATTTCTGGGTTAGCGAGGTTAAGGAGTGCGTCGACCGGGGATCGAACTCCGGACCATGTGCATGGTCGGCGAGCGTTCCAACCGTTATACCACCGACGAACGTTCAGAAGTGTTCGAACTAGCTCTAAAGTTAGCGCTGAAGATGACGGCTAGAAAGATAATAAAAGTTTCAAAATTAAATTGCCTAACTGGTTGAATACAACAGCAAGAGAAATTCATCACTGTCAGTAATATACTCTTTTAATACCTTTTCTAGTAAAATGTAAGCATGTTCTCTCTTCAGAGAACAGATCTGCACTAACTATTATCATGTGTGCAGTAATGCCTTTAAACATCAAACATCTGTCTCATCAGGATGTGCATCGAATAATATTGAAGTTGAAGATCTGAAATTCGTGGTTATCTATGCGTTTTCTACTTTATGTTTTATAAATAATTTGTCTTAGCTAATCCATATGTTATTTAGAAATATATTCAAGTATATCTGATCAAGGGATTTCGGAATAATGGTAGAGATTAGTCGATTCGTTTTACATCTGCCTTAGTTAGTGAGATTTATCAAGCCAACTGATGATATCTTTACTTTCGACCAGTCATTATCTTCTTTGGTTAGAGCTGCAAATGGTTCATGTGACGGCAGGAGTCTAACATAAATTCATACTGTGAATTTTTTTTCAGATGTTGAAATATCGATTTGTCATATTATGCATATTTGTCTGTATTAGTATGTGTGCATGTTGTCTGTTATGTGGAAAACACGTCAATACATCGAATAAATTATAATTATATTGAAATATAATTAACTTCAACACATGATAATATTTTTTTTACAGTGGTCATAATATATAGCATGGGATTTTCTTTTGTCAACTGTTTTGCTTCATTAGAGTCTGCCGTATAGGTGATAAGTCTATCCCATGTCTCCTATTTACTGCGTTCTATGTGGTTAAAACACGCATGGCTTCAGAGGTACAGTCTTTCTTTATGTGTATGAAAGCCTCATTCTAGAATTTCGACATTATCAAAATCAATCTTATGTCTGCTGTCTACTAGCATGCATTGCTATAGCTAATCGTTTCTCACAAAATATGTACTCTGCTTTTGAATAGATGTAATCAATTTCATCAATAAAATACAATGGAATTTTACGTGTCAATCAAGTGAAACTGGGAGAATTTAGATGCTCATATGTTAAATTTAGAGGTCAGTTAAGGTTAAACCAGTTGTTTTCACTGAAAAGTTGAATGGGAAATCAACTTGAGGTTTTAGTATCAAGGTAAAGATGAAAGAGTGTTTCGCTCAAAGATGTTGGTTATAGAATTTGAAGATATGAGCTAGTACATTGACGATAATTGGTTGAAAACACTTCATTATGCATCACTTAAAGTACTGCTTAAGGATACATTTCACTAGGCTAAAATTAGGCAATATTGAAGACTAGACAAGATAATATTTATTAATTCATTATAAAGATTCCGAATTTTCACTTCCACTGACTTCTCATTTAGAACAGTTAAGAAGTAGTTTTGTTTGCTGTTGCTTAAATGTAACGTGTAAATACGCTTGCATAGATTGAAAACAGAACATGTATCAAAGGTAACCTTTTCCTGAATACCTGCTATCTACGATGCACTTCCACGTCCACTTCATAAAGTATTCAGGAATAAGCGAGCTGTGATTGTATTAATGATGCGTGTAGTTTGTTTTAGTGTACATTGTAATCAAAAAACTATACAAATAGAAGTTGTACACCTTTGCATCTGAACTTGTGCTTTGTTTTAATGGGGGTGAGATAAATAAAAAGCAGTAAAGGATAGCGTGCATAAGATCACTGGACCGATACCTGCTACATTGAATTGGTGGTCTGGCTTGCACATTCCAATGACCCAACAAACTACAGTGGCTGGAACTATTGTTCCTGCAGGTCCTACCATGCCAAGAAGGTTGTTAGGATAGCGATTAAACTAAAAGCGGTTACCAGCATAATGTAAGATTTAGTTGGTTTAGCAGACTACTCCAATGCCCAACTAGGGAAGTTATGCCAGACTCAGAAGTATATTGGTGGTACATACGGAGTTCCCTGCCGACGAACCGACAATGGTGACCCTCTTATGCAGTTTCCTTCCGATTATCATCTGTTCCTAGTCAGCACTAACTTTAGGCACAAAGAGAGACATTTCCTAACCTGGTGACCCAAGTCACCAAATCAACATTAGAATCAAAAAGACCACATAGGGATAGCCTACAGCCATGACCAACTTACTCAGCATCCAACACCTCCCTGAATGGGATATAAACAGAGTTCCTCCGTCCCTAACTGAGGTTACGAAAGCTGTCTCGAGTTTGAATCGAGGAAAAGCAGCAGGACCTGGTGAAATAACTCCATAGGTGTTTAAGGACGGGGAACTATCTGCTTTAACTAAGGTATTAGGCAGCGTCTGGTAATCAGTTATTGATCATCCCGATATACAAGAAGGGAGACAAGTCTTCCTGTGATAATCACAGGGGGATTAGCGTGATTAATATGGTGACATCCAGAGTTCTGGGCTCAATAATCCTGTGTAGATTAAGTGGTGCTCGGGAGAAGCAAACACGAGAGAACTAGGTAGACTTTAGACCATGAAGGGGGTGTATTGATCAATGATTCACCCTTTGACGGATTCTGGGACATAGGCATACTAACCGGAGTCGTTATGTTTCTTGACCTGAAAACCGAATTCGATTCTGGCGACCGAGAGGTACTATGGCGATGTTTTACTGGGTAGGGAATGCCGAGAAAATACAATGCTCTCATCAAGGCACTCTAGTTGAATTCATGCAGTCAGCCAGGTGAGAGCCTACGTAGAGTTGTCATCTGACAACCAGTGGTGTCCGTAAGGGATGCCGACTGTTCCCATTTCTTTTTAATTTCACCATAGATGTACTACCAATGGACTTTACCCTAACTGACTTCAGCGACTCAGGGAATGATTTTTCATCAGTGAATAATCTCGTTTTACTTAGAATACGCGGATAATATAGTCTTGCTCCTAGGTGAAGACCCTGACAAAATGCAGAGCCTTCTCAACACCTTGAGGAACCATCTTCGAATGCTAGGCAGGGGATTCGCTCCTGTCATATGTGAAATG